TCTGTGCTGCATGGTGTGTGCCCCCCTCCCCACCCCCACTCCCTTCAGCTACCACAGACCCCCCTCCAGAGGGTCTAGCCCCTTGGCTGGGAGGGGTGACCTTCCCTAGGGGGCCCCACACAGCCTTGCCCTCTGCAGCCCCTTGCCAGCACCAGCTCTCTGAACTGATTCCCTGCCCACGGTCACCTCCAGCTCGTGCCACCGGCCCACACGGCTCCTGGCAGCGCAGTCGGAAATAAGGCTGCACATTTCAGACCAGCCCGTTGATCAGCCAGATACCACGGGTGCATTCACGCGCAACCTGGAGGGGTGACCCTGCTCAAAGTGGTACCAGGACACACACACAGAGACACACACTCACAGACACACAGAGAGTCAGACACACCCACAGACCAACAGATACACACACACCCACAGAGACACCCACAGACCGACAGACAAACACAGAGACACACAGAGATTGACAGACACACACACACACAGACGCACACACACACACAAACTGACAAACACAGAGACCGACAGACAGACACACACACAGACGCACACACATAGACAGAGACACACACAGACACACACACACACAGACGCACACACACACACAGACTGACAGACAAACACAGAGACCCACCCACACACACACACACACACACAGACCGACAGACAAAGACAGAGACCGACAGACAGACACACACACAGAGACGCTCACACATAGACAGAGACACACACAGACACACACACACAGAGACACCCACAGACTGACAGACAAACACAAACACACACAGAGACACACAGAGACCGACAGACAGACACACACACACAGACGCACACACATAGCCAGAGACACACACACACACACACACTGTCTAACAGTGACTCCAGCGCAAAGGGGCTCGGGTAGCAGCTAGCGAGGTCGTTCTCTCCACCTGCAGCCCTGCAGACTCAAGCTAGCTTCGTTCCCAGGCTGAATACGCTGGATGTTGCAGACAGCCCCATGGACCATGGACTCGGCTCCCTCCCGTGGCTGGCCCGGCCCCGCGGGACAAAACAGCAAACCCGTCTCAGTCACTCAGATGGGGGCCTCACTCTGGGTCCCGGGGAGCAGGTCGCTGGGGCCATGTCTGCAGGCACTGGCCAGACTAGAACCACGCAGAGGTAGCCGGCACTTCTCAGGGGCAAGATGTCAGGTGTCGGGCCCGCTCCTGCGGCTCTCCTCCCCACGGCCGGCCGGGGACAGCGGCTGCTCTCCCTGCCCCTGGGGGGGCTCACTGCATGGCGGAGAGGCTGGAGCTGGGCCGAGGGGGAAGCTCATTGCCCTGGTCCAAACGGCACGAGCATTGTGTGTCTTCCCCTCCCACCTCCCCGACAGCACAGGAGCTCGCTGATGCCGTCCCTGCTTGAGCAGCTCCAGTGAAGCAGGGTGCCAGGGCAGGGCTGCAGCTAGCCGTGGTCCCCAAGGGAGCCATGGGGGGAGCCATCCACTTTGGGGATGGCTTTTCTATGGGGGCACCCTCCCTCCAGCCAGCGGGGCAAAGCCCCGCCCGGAAGCAGAGAGCCCTGCCCCACCCCCGTGGCTTTGAGTCTGTCTGGGGACAGTCTGGTCCAGAGGTCTGCCCGAGGTGGGGCTGGCCTCCCTCAGGGAAGTTCGGTGCTGGCCTGTGTCTAGCCCTCAGGATGGTCCCTGTCTACCAGCACGTCTGGGGTCAGAACGCTGGGCCCGGTACAGTGGAGTGTCTAACATCCACCTCCACGGGACCCTGCAGACGGGCACTGTCCCGGTGCATCCCGCTTCCCTTCTCCTTCCTCTGCAGTGCCAGGCCCATCCCCCCTCTGGGTGGGACATGGGACTAGGGGCCTCTCAGGCTGGTCCCATGGGGCAGGAGGCAGGCCCAGGTGGAGCCCTGGGCTGACTCCGTGGGAGGTAAGGCCCTGCCAGCAGGAGGGAAATGACCCATGGTACATCAGCCGCTTCCCCTCAGCCCTCTCAGCTGCTAGCGCAGGCTGAGTATGTCATTTGCAAGCCCTGGGGCAGGGAGCTGGGTGCCCGGGGCACTGGCTGGCAAGGGTGCGGTCGCACCCGCCTGGCAGCTGATTTGTCCTTACTGAAAAGCAAATATTCCCTCCCCCTGCGCCAGGGCGTGGCATGCCCAGCAGCAGCAGCTGCAGGCTGATTTGGCCCCTCGCTGGCGTCCCAGCACTGCCCTTTGCCCAGAGGCACTGAGCCACTTCTGAGAGCAGAGGAGCCCGAGCCCAGCGCCTGGGGTTTTATCTGGAGGGGGCTCAGAGACCCGGCGGGGCTGGATCCGAATGGTGCCACTGGTCACTAAGGGAATAGATTTTCATGAGCCCAGCACGCTGGTGGCTGAGTGCTTGTGAATCCGGCCCTAGGTCTATGATGGGCCAAAGCAACCCCCGACCTCTGGGGAGGCTGAAATCTGGCTCCAGCCCCCTATCCCTGGCCTCTCCCTGCCCCTCAGCCAGGGTGCTGCTTGGGGCAGCCAGGGGTGAGTGGGCCATGGGCAGGGAGTGCGTGGGGGCTGCGGGCACTGGGACTGGCACAGCTGGGCAGGCCAGGGCAGCACTCTGGAACAAAAGGCCATTAATCTCCTTGTCCTCCCAGCCTGGCACCTCGTTAGCAATAATTAACGGAGTTGGTTTAACTCAGGCAGCGGGAGGGGAGGTTTGAGTGGTGAGTGGGTGCGGGTGCTTTACGGCTGGTTTCTTCAAGGATAATAAACTCCCCCAGCTCTCCACATGGGTCTGGGGAGGAAACGGCCTTGTCATCCTGAATGGCTCAGCATAAATTCACTGGGCACCCGGAGGCGACCACGGGCTGTTTCAAATGTCGCACAGGCCACACTGCTCAGTCTGTGCACGTGGGTCACGGGTGGATCCAGCTTCCATGTAGAAACAGGACGGCAAGGGGCCCCGGGCCGGAGCGGTGCTGTCCCTTTAAGGGTGCACGGTGGCGTCTCATGGCCCGGTGACAAGCTAGCAGGAGCCAGGCAGCTTTAATCGGTGGCTTTGTTCAGCCTGATCCTATTTGCATGGCAATCGCTGGGAGTTTTGCCATTACTCTCAACGCTAGCAGGAGCAAACCAGCGAATAGCTTGGCTGTTTGCTAGTGGTCCTTTAACCGAGCTGTTGCTAAGAAACGAAAATTGCCGCCATTTTTGTGGGGCCTACCAAAACAAGCACCTGGGCTGCTTCCCCTTCTGGCTGTGCCCGGGGGGATGCTGAGCCCAAATCTGCCATCACCTAGGATGCACGAACCAGGAAGCTAACGCGTAGCTGGGTGATTCTTAGCATTGCCAGCCCCTAGGGATGGGCAAGAGTGTCAGGGAACCATGCCTTCCCAGCACCGAGGAGAGGGGCGAGGAACGTGGCGGTTCCCCAGGATTTAGTCCATGGCTGGCCCTTTAAAACCCCTGCGGCTCTGCATGGCAACCTCCACTGACAAGCACTGTGCCCGCGGAGGGCTCAAAAGGCCAGAGCTGTACTGAGCAGGCGCGGTTAACTCCCGATGCTGTGTCTCCCCAGTGCGCTAGGGCTGCCCTGCCCTCCGTCCCTGAAGAACTCCCCTGCTTGCCACCCTCGTCCTCGAGGGCGTTCCACCAAGCCCCCACCCACACCCATCTCTGGGGCTGAGGAGGGGGAAAGCTTCCCAGCAGGGCCTTTTACCCCATCCCCCACCCCTGGGGTCAGGTGGAAGGACCCCATGGGCTCCCCATGTGTCAGTCCCCGTCCCGGGGCTGGGAGCCTGGCATGTCTGCTGGCAGCGGTGAGGGAGGGTGACTCAGCGCAGCTCCCACGTGTGGCGCTTGGCTCCTGGCCTGTGAGAGGCTCTGTCATTTCCTCCTCCCTTCGGCTGCCCTGAGAGCTATGGAAATTGCAATTTTAACTGTCTGGAACAAGATGTTTTTCTGCCTGGGAACAAACAACTGCCTGGTCTTCCTCCCACCCCTGCGTGCCATCCTCCTCCTCCCACGCAGGCGGGGGCCGCTGGATCCAGCCCGCTTTGAGGGGTTGGACACTGAACTCACGACGCCAGGGCTAGACGCCGTCCCTGCCCCAGGAAAGCCGCCACATGCATGTCCTGGCCCTGCTGTGTCCCCCTGCCCATCGAGTGGGCACAGAGGGTCGGATCCTCAGCAGGCCTCAGTTGGAGCTCAGCTGCTTGGCACCTGCTGAGCGCTGGCCCCGAGCTCCTGCCCGCCCCCGGTGCTCAGATAGGGTTACCATATGTCCGGATTTTCCCGGACATGTCCGGCTTTTGGGGCCTCAAATCCCCGTCCGGGAGGAAATCCCAAAAAGCCTGACATGTCCAAGAAAATAGGGAGGGAGGGACCAGTGGTGCTCGGCCGGGGGCCGGGCCAGCGGTGTTCGGCCGGGGGCCGGGCTGGGGCCAGCAGTGCGGAGCCGGGGGCGGTGGTGCTTGGGCCGGGGGCCGGGCTGGGAGTGCTCGGCGTGGGGGCCGGGGCCCGGGGCCGGGGCCGGCAGTGCGGGGCCGGGCCGGGGCCGGTGGTGCTCGGCTGGGGGCCGGGGCCGGTGGTGCTCGGCCGGGGGCCGGCGCCCCAGGGCCTAAGCCAAGCCGGGCGGGAGACACCGGGGCCAGAGCCTCTTGGCCTGAGCCGCTCGGCTGGACTGGGCCGCGCCCCCCCGCCCCAGCTTGCCTGCTGCTTCAGGCTTCCCGTGAATCAAATGTTCGCGGGAAGCAGGGAAGGGGGAGGGGCAGGGGGGGCGAAGCGTCCAGGGGAGGGGCGGAGTTGGGGCGGGGCCCCTGGAGTGTCCTCTTTTTGGACACTTAAAATATGGTAACCCTAGCTCAGAGCCATCGGCAATCGCAGGGGCACAGCTAGGGTGACCAGATAGCAACTGTAAAAAATCGGGACAGGGGGTGGGGGGTAATAGGAGCCTATATAAGAAAAAGCCCCCAAAATCGGGACTGTCCCTATAAAATCGGGACATCTGGTCACCCTAGGCACAGCAGTGCTGGTGAGCACGAGGCCTGCGGAGAACCTGCTGCTCAGTGACTACCGCGGGCGGTCTCAGGAGGGCGAGGGCCCGGCCTTGGTGTCGAAGAGCCACGCCGCTCTGTGCCTCCTGCTGCAGCCCCTCGTGGCATGGACTGAGGCAAGCGGATTGGAAAGGGGCATGGCCTGAGCCACTGAGGGCCTGGTCAGCAGAGGGGATGTGAACCTGCAGCTCCCGCCAGCTGTGGGGAGCAGTTCGTGGCTGGAACAGCGCAGCAGATCCGAGGCCCAGGTGGTGACGGGAGGGGGGCAGAGATCTGGGCCGTCTGCTTTCACCAGCTGCCCGGGGGTTGTCCCCAAGGGGGGGGAAGGGCTGCAGCCCACTGCCCCTATCGTTATTACAATGGGCCCAGCGCCCGAGGCCCCTGCAGAGGCCGTGCTGGCCGGGCCCCCCCGGAGGCTCTGCCTGCTAACGCTCACTTTCCACGCTGACAGGACTGGAGCGAGAAGCTGGCCCAGCTGGCCCAGGAGCGAGCAGTCAGCTGCCTGGCGGGGGCCCTGCCCCGCCCTCCGCACCGCACCCAGCATGTGGGCTGGAATGCCCAGCTGCTCCCCGCCGGGGCGGCCAGCTTTGCTGCCGTGGTGGAGCTGTGGTTCAGCGAGGGACGGCGCTACGACTATCACGCAGCACAGTGCCTGGAGAACGCCACCTGCAGCCACTACACCCAGGTAAGCCAGCAAGGGACCCGGCGCTGTCTCCTCCCGGGGGCGCCAGGCACCAGCAGGAGAACAGAGTTTGGTACAGCGAGAACAGTTCCCTGTGTATCACAGAACCTCCACCACGTGACTGGGTGCTCCAGGTAGCCCAGGGCTGGAAGAGCAGGTGGCCTGCAGGTCAGGGTGGAGGCACATTGGCAGAGCTGTGTGTGGCGAGCCCCTGCTGGGCGCCGGGGTTCATCCCTGCCCAGGATCTAGCCCCGTGGCTGTCAGGGCCATGAAAATGCACCTAAGCCTGTTGGTCATTGCCTAGTCCCCATCACCGCCTGCTGTCCTCCGTCAGGGAAAGCCAGCAGGGCCCGAAGCGCCTGGCTGCTCACTCAGGTGGCCAGGGACAGGGCGTAGTGCTGGTAATGCTGGGCCTGACAAAGAGGGCTCCAGCCCTGCTCATGCGAGCGAGGCCCTGTGGGAGGCCTGGACCCCGCATATGCCCACATCGTCCCTGAGGGCGGGGCGGGGGGGGGAACGACCATCTGGTGAGCAGCCGGGGCTGGGACTGCTCGTATGGGATGGCTGGGCCCAGAGCTGAGCCAGCCCCCTCACACCCTGCCCCTGCAGGGACTGGGGAGAGGCTGGGCCATACCTGAGAATGCCCCGCCCCCCTCAGCCAGGGCACAGACAGGGCTTTCCCAGGGCCGGGGGGGGGGGGGAGGGCGGGAGCTAGGGTTGCCAACTTTGGTTGGACGAATTCCTGGAGATTTCATCGCATGACATAATCTTTAATTTAAGATTCATCTTTAATTCCTGGACAATCCCAGAGGGTTGGCAACCCTAAAGGGAGGGGAGCTCAGTGCTCTGTGGAACGAGCTGTGGCAGGGGTGGATCCAAGCAGGTCATGGTATGCGGGTAGTGTGACCAGAGGTCCTGATATTCAGGGCTTCCTCTTAGACAGGCACCAAATATCCCCCACCCCATCCCCAGGCGATTGTTCACACTGGCTATCTGGGCTCCCTGCAGAGCATTGGGCTGAGACTCTTTGGCCTGCCAGTTCAATAGTGGGGGTGGGGGGGGGATATCCCCATAGGCCTTTCCCAGCCCTTCGCAGTGTGACCCAGTGGGCAGCAATCGCCGGCCCTACAGCCACCCCGCGACAGCTGGCAACCCCCACACAGCTGGCACTGCGCCTGCAGCCGTGGGGAGGGTGTAGGCTGGGCAGGCGCGCTGAGGCCTGCACCGTGTCTCTCTTGCAGCTGGTCTGGGCCACCTCCAGCAGGTTGGGCTGCGGGAAGCACGTCTGCATCGAGGGCCAGGACAGGAGAGAGGCTTTCGTCTGCGCCTACTCCCCGGGGTAAGGCCTCTCGGTGTGCACACAGGCAGTCAGGTGCCCTTCCTGCCTGGCAGGCACCTGAGCCATGTGCTCACCCCCCTCATCTCCCTCGGCAGCCCCAGTGAGCCCACACCACACCCCCCACACACACCCGCACCCCACGTCCTCCACCCCACCCCCGGCTGCAGGCATGGGTGAACGGGTCTGTCAATGCCAGAGACACTTGGTGGGTGGGGCTTGTAATGGAACATAAGAGTGGCCATACTGGGTCAGACCAAAGGTCCATCTAGCCCAGTATCCTGTCTGCCGACAGTGGCCAGTGCCAGGTGCCCCAGAGGGAATGAACAGAACAGACAATCATCAACAGAAGCATCAAGTGATCCACCCCGTCTCCCATTCCCAGCTTCTGGCAAACAGGTTAGGGACACCATCCCTGTCCATCCTGGCTAATAGCCATCGATGGATACACCCCCCATGAATTTATATAGGTTTTTTTTTAACCCTGTTATAATCTTGGCCTTCACAACATCCTCTGGCAAAGAGTTCCACAGGTTGACTGTGCGTTGTGTGAAAAAATACTTCCTTTTGTTTGTTTTAAACCTGCTGCCTAGTAATTTCATTTGATGGCCCCTAGTTCTTGTGTTATGAGGAGTAAATAACACTTCCTTAAAAACAACGAGGAGTCCTTGTGGCCAGGGCCGGCTCCAGGCACCAGCTGAGCAAGCTGGTGCTTGGGGCGGAGATTGTTCGAGGCGGCATTCCGCCCAATCCTAGGGTGGCACGGACGGTTTTTTTTTTTGTTCTTGTTCCGCTCCGGCTGCCCTGTAGGGGGCGGCAGTGCAGAGAACCAGAGCACCCTGCCGGGCAGTCCTCTTCCTTCCCTCCCTGCCGACCCTCGCGGCAGGCGGCAGGAGGCGGCGCAGCGGGAGGGGCCGCGTGGCAGCGCCCCTGCTGTAGCCCTGGCCGCCCCCTTCTCTCTCTCTCCCGCCCGCTCCCTCCCCCTCCCCCCCCAGCCGGTCCCCCTGTACCCGCGCTCCGGCCGTGCCGCAGGTTTGTTGTTTTTTGTTTTTTGCTTTGCTGTTCTGGCCGCCCCGGGTTTTTTTTGTTTGTTTTTTTGCTTGGGGCGGCCAAAAAGCCAGAGCCGGCCCTGCTTGTGGCACCTTAGAGACTAACCAATGTATTTGGGCAGAAGCTTTCGTGGGTGAATCCCCACTTCGTCCGATGAATGAATTCACCCACGAGAGCTCCTGCTCCAATACGGCTGTTAGCCGTACCACAGGACTCTTTGTCGCTTTTTACAGATCCAGACTAACACGGCTACCCCTCTGATAAAGGACTCCTTGTTGTTTTTGCTGATACAGACTAACACGGCTACCACTCTGAAACCTAACACTTCCTTAGTTACTTTCTCCGCACCTGTCATGATTTTATAGCCCTCTATCATATCCCCCCTTAGTCGTCTCTTTTCCAAGCTGAAAAGTGCCAGTCGTATTAATCTCTCTTCATACAGAAGCCATTCCATACCCCTAATCATTTTTGTTGCCCTTTTCTGAACCTTTTCCAATTCCAATATATCTTTTTTGAGGTGGGGCAACCACATCTGCACACAGTATTCAAGATGTGGGTGTACCATGGATTTATATAGCAGCAAAATGATATTTTCTGCCTTATTATCTATCCTTTTCCTAATGATTCCCAACGTTCTGTTCACTTTTTTGACTGCCGCTGCACATTGAGTGGATGTTTTCAGAGAACTATCCACAATGACTCCAACGTCTCTTTCTTGAGTGACCCCGTCATTTTATATGTATAGTTGGGATTATGTTTTCCAATGTGCATCACTTTGCATTTATCAACGTTGAATTTCATCTGCCATTTTGTTGCCTGGTCACCCAGTTTCATGAGATCCTTTTGTAGCTCTTCGCAGTCTGCCTAGGACTTAACTATTGTGAGTAGTTTTGTATCATCTGCACATTTTGCCACCTCACTATTTACCCCTTTTCCCAAATCATTTATGAATATTGTGATACAGCAGGGCCATGTCAGGTGGTCGGGAGTATATCCCTACTGCTATATTCTCATTATTAGAGCATGGAATTACTATCCATAGAGATTCTATGGAACAGTTTGGTTCATTTAAGATTTTTACTTCATTTGACTCTACGCTTTCTTTCACATCTAGTGACACTCCCAGCACAACCTATTCTGTCCTTCTGATATATTTTCTATCCTGGTATTACTGTGTCCCATTGATTATCCTCATTCCACCAGGTTCTGTGATGCCTATTATATCAATATCCTCATTTAATACGAGACACTCTAGTTCACCCATCTTAGTATTTAGACTTCTAGCATTTGTATATGAGCACTTTAAAAATGTGTTCCTTCTTAGCTGTCTGCCATTACGTGATGTAGTTGAATGGGAATTTTTTTCATTTGACTTTCTCATCAGATCCTTCCCCTATTTATCATCTTCCATCCTCTCCTCCTTACTAAGGACATGGAGACTCTCCATTAGTAGATCCTCCCCTATGGGATGTCTCTGACCGAACCACGTGCTCCTCCGCACCCCCCAGTCGGCTTCCCCCCAGCCCTTAGTTTAAAAACTGCTCTACGACCTTTTTAATGTTAAGTGCCAGCAGTCTGGTTCCATGTTGGATTAGGTGGAGCCCATCCTTCCTGTATAGGCTCGCCCTTTCCCTAAAGTTTCCCCAGTTCCTAATAAATCGAAACCCCTCCTCCCTACACCATCGTCTCATCCACGCATTGAGACCCTGCAGTTCTGCCTCCCTAACCGGCCCTGCGCATGGAACTGGAAGCATGTCAGAGAATGCTACCATGGAGGTCCTGGACTTTAATCTCTTCCCTAGCAGCCTAAATTTGGCCTCTAGGACCTCTCTCCCATCCTTCCCTATGTCATTGGTACCTACAGGTACCACGACCACCAGCTCCTCCCCAGCACTACACATAAGTCTATCTGGATGTCTTGAGAGAGCTGCAACCTTCGCACCAGGAAGTGGGAGGACCTTGGCCCCAGGGGTGGGATTTACAATGAAAGAGGTGGGTGGGTTTGTCGATGGAAGCAGAGAGTGGGTGGGGCTTATGATAGTAGGTGGAGCTTGACCCTACAGAAGTAGAAGGTGGGCGGAAGGGTCTGTCAATGGAAGTAGAAAATAGGTGGAGCTTAAAATAATAGTAGGTGGGGCTTGGCCCACAGGAAGTAAAAGGTGGGAGGGCTTACAATGAAAACAGGTAAGACTTGGTCCCAGGGAAGAGGATGGTGGGTGTGGCATATAATTAAAGGAGGTGGGGCTTGGGAGCAAAAGTGGGTGGGGCTAATCATCTGGCCAGCCTTGTCTGGGCAGAAGATGCTGTTCTCCCTTCTATTAAGCTTTCGGGGCCGATTGCAGCCTGTGCAGCTCACAGGCTGGTCGCCCAGCTCCAGCGGTGGAGCAGAGGAGGTGGGGAGTTGTGGCCAAACCTCCGAGTGTGATGTGGGCCCTTGCACATCATAGCTGCCTGGGGACAACCCACATGGCCCCTGGGCTGGGCTGGAAAGGCACAGAGCCCTGGGACCTACCTGCGACTGTCCCTGGGGCCCCTGGCCCTGCGGCTCCATGCCTGTCTGTTCCGCCCCCAGGGGGAACTGGGAGATGAACGGGAAGACGATCGTCCCTTACAAGAAAGGAGCCTGGTGTTCGCTCTGCACCTCAGGATGCTCCGGATGCTTCAAGTCGTGGGATCACAGCGGGGGGCTGTGTGGTGAGTGCCGGCTCCCCCCCGCCCGGTACCTTCACTTGAACTTAGATTATGCTAGTCCCCCTGCCCTGCTGGCACAGTGGGGCCCTGGGCACTGGCTGGCACAGCTGGGCACCTGCCATCTTACAGCCGCCTTGTGCGTTTTGTTTGATCAGAGGTCCCCAGGAACCCCTGTCGGATGAGCTGCAGGAACGACGGGCGGTTGAACATGAGCACCTGCCACTGCGACTGCCTGCCGGGGTACACGGGCCGGTACTGCCAAGGTGAGAGCTGGCTGGCATGGGTGTGTGCAGGGTGCACAGGGATGCCTCTTGCCATCGGCGCCACGGGTGAGACGCCTGCGTTGCATGGTTGTTGTGTTGCATTACAGTCTTGTGTGTGGAGTGCTGTGGGGCTGCGAGGGGCTGGCGCCCGGGGCGTGCGAGGGGCTGGCGCCCGGGGCGTGCGTGGG